CATCTCCATCAGCTGCTACACTGCTGTGGTTTGCATGCCCCTCTATGTGAAGTCTCACTGCAGGAGATATGGAGCTTTTTAATATCCAGTCAAGTTTACGGATGCCTTGTGTACAAATTAGTCACACCCATCCTTAAATTATTATTGAATTAGGAAAAACTGTTAAGCCATGACAGAATAAAGGAAGACAGGAGTTTTGGAATCAAATCTGCCCAAATTTTTAACCTTTTAGTGGAGTATAGTAAAGCCATCTCTGAACTTCTCTTCACGTAAGATCCTATACATGCAAAATCACCTCTGAAAATCCTATAAAATTTTGGATCTCAAAGCTCATTTGTACAAAACAATTTATCCTATTTAGACTTACAAACGCACTGATGTTAACACTTTAAAGTTCTTATTACAATGTCTGTATGTATTAAACTGTGCATCAAAACAGTTATAAAGATTTCTGTGAGGCACAAGTCCCTGGAATGTACAAGGGAGAAAACACTTTATAACACCATAATCAGGAAATTCAAAAGACTAATGAGTGGCAGACCAAGTCAGACAGAAAGCACATTTTTGTGTTCAAGACCTGTAAAGAAACCCCTAGACTGGGAGGTATATGTTACAGGAAACTTCTGCCCCCACAGCGATACCTCGTTTTATATCTCCTCATCTTTTTGAAACTGCCAGAAACTGCCTGTGAGACAAGCACCTTGCAAATAGCTTCTCAATTGCATCAGAGAATCTCTAAATAAATCTGGAAGTTCCAGACAAATACGGGTCTGCCTGTTCAACACACCACACTCCACTTATAGGAGATTTTGAAAGTCTGTTAACAAGGCTATGGAATTCCTGGTGAGCTCCTTTGAATGCTTAGGGTTAAATTTGGATTTGGCAGGTGGCTTTCATTTGTCAGGAATTCTGCCACTGGGAATGACTGAAGAGACGTATTCCTTCTGCTCACATGCCTTCTCCTGACAGCTTCACATAACAGGAGTTATGTGATTCTCATGAGTTCATGTGGATTCTTCAACAGGAATTAGTTTGCAGACACCATGGCCTGAAACAGCTGTATCCCATGACACTTTCAGCTACTAAGCATCAATGAAATAGTTTGCAGAAAAGGCCCCACTGACAAATGGAATAAAATAAGACCCAATTCCTCCTAAATTACCCACCATACATCGTACAGAAAGCTTCAAACTGCAGCAGTCTACTTTAGCTTTTGATCTTCTTTAAACTGCTAGCAAGAATAAAAAACTTAAACGACAAAAATCGATATGCTAAAGTTCAAAATGTGCGAAAATGAACAGAATTTCTGTTCAAGCCCTCTTCATTAACAATCGTTGCATATTTCACTGCAGGAAAAAAAATAAGCAAGTCCTTAGGAAAGCTGAATGCTAATTTTAAAGCAATCAAAAATGCATAGATGTTTTAAATTACGAGAAATGGCTTTCTAACATCTTGACTATTTAAACAGAAGCAGATGGTTTACATTGCTTTACTGCTTAATTAAATATTTTATATATTCTATAAAATGGTATTTGATGACATTCTTTCTGATTGGCTTTCTAAATTTAAATTATAAAGTAATTTTATGTATGCACTGTATTAACCAGATAATTAATATATTCATATATTAACTTACTAACTTACCAACCTGGCTTCTAACACATGTGAAAAATCTAATTGTCCACTTCTTTCCTATTTCTTCTTCATGACAATACTAATGTCTTTTTCATAATTCTACTGTGTTCCTTTATTTTAAATAGTCCTAATTTAAAAGCCAGTATTTTAGATTTTCCCTTTTCATTCCCTTCACAAAAACAAAGATAGCAAAACAAGAAAAATAAGTTGAAATTACTTTATGAAAACCTTAAAACCAACTCCAAACAAGATACAGGTATGGATGCTACTATGATAGTAAGACACATAATTGTAAGACACAACTACTGATGAGTGTGAAAGATTTGAGGTAATGATAAAGAAGGTTTAACAAAATTGCTTAGGAAGCATTTCACAGAAGAAAGACAACTAAAAAAAGGTATGCTGACCCCAATTTCCCAAGGGGAAAATAAAATCAGGTTACATAGTTCTACAGAGCCACAATCACACAGTTGGAAGAAAAAAAGGGATGAAAAGAAGAGACTGAGCACAGTGAGGAAAGTTTTCATAAAATCTTTACCAAGTATAAATTTCATGTGGTAATCCCAGCAAAAGGAAGGGTTTCACAATTATTTTAAGCTTCCGTCAGGACTTTTCTAAAGCTGATTCAAAACAAACATGGTAGAAGGAAGAAACAGACAAAACAACAATATAATCACTGAGCCAGGGCCTTGTTTAACTGCGTGACTACTAAAGACAACCTTAGATTGAAAAGAACTTAATTCAGTTCTTGGGACATATAATTCAAACTGGCAAGGAAAGGTAACGTACTGTGTGCACAAATGGCCCTGCTCAGTGACACTTCAATACAATCCTTACGCAAGCAGATGACAAATGGCTATCACAAAGTGAAGTGTGAATTAAGTGACTTGTGAGTCCCCTGAAGCCATTAGGGACACGAGTCATTGCACCCTTCACGTAAACCAAAGGCTCCAGTTTTAGGGCACGTTGCACATTTTAAACTACAGCAGCTTTTCCTGGTTCTTTCTAGGCTTTTGTTCAGCACTTTGCAGCTCAGAATTTCACAAACCTTTGAAGCCTCTCACCTGGCTCCTCTTGACCCGACACAAGCCCACGTCAATGAGCAGGGAAGAAAACCAAAACATTCACAGGTATTCTTTAATTGGTGAAATGCAGCTGTGTCACAGCACAATTCTTTATATACGACCAGTACAGTGTACAAAGAGAGGTAACCCTATTTTCCCATCTAGATATGAACACATGTAATTTGAGAAAAAACAGTAGTTGCCAATAAAACCCCACAACAACAAAGAAACAAAAAAAACCTGAAGCATTTTATTGAACATTTTATTGATTATTATCAGAATATCAACTTGAAAAAAATTGCAGTAATATGATAAAACTAAGATACATAGCTGCTAAAATGATCAGAATCCTTAAGACTGTACAAAAGTATCTGCTCACCACCTCCTTTAATTAGGCATTCAAAGCCACTGACAAAAAGAACAGCAGAATGACTCATGGAATTCACTACCACTAGGAATTAAAGCAAATATTTGAGTGAACATTTTCAGGCATGCACTGTTTTCAAAAATATAACATTAATTTAAATTAAGTTAAACTTACTATTAAAGTTTTAATCATGAGTGAAATGCCTATTCTTGTATTCCTCTAGCTAAACAGGAGAGCTTTTACCCGTTTCACGATACATAGTTCGCTGCGAGTTCAGAGAGAGAACTGATTTCACTTACCTACCAGTTATTTATATTCCTCTAAGTGAAGCATAGGAAAAAAGGAAGACACATTTGGCAGTTAGTTACACTGAACTAACTTCAGACTGACATATTTCATATGTTTTAGCATGCATTCTTTTCTTAATACCCCTGAGAGACTTTATGTATCATCATGCGCTAAATGAACTTTTAACACTTGCAAGACAATATCTCCACCCCATCTGAAAGACTCCAAGTCACTGAATATGCACATAGAGAAACAAATGTTGCAACAAAAACTCAGTCCTTCTATATGCAGTCTCATTTAAATTCTGAAAATTGAAGATTAGAAACAAAGCTACCATCCACTAACCTACTTTGTCACATAATCAGTAGGAAGTAAATCTGTTTCAGCACATATGTTTTTCACCATTAGTTAGACAGATTTTTTGGTTTCTGTAAGTTTGTAATAACATGACAATTATAAACTAATTTCTCTGGTACACTATACTTGAATACAGTTTTGTGTTTGTTGACTGAATAGGTTTTTTCCCCCCAAATATTTCACAATGGAAATGTTTATTCAGGTAGCCGAGACCAAGAAGCAAACACGAAAGGAATCAATTCCCTTCCAACAATGAGCCTTATGTACTTCTACGTCAGTTTAACACCGTCTGAAGCAGAAGCAATTAGAACTCACGATAGGTTTCACCTATGTAAATGAGAGCAAGTTCAGAGAGTGAACCATAAGACTTTTTGACATAATTTCAAACAAAGGAAGTGGACGGAGGGGCAAACTGCAAAAAATTCTGGATTATAAGAATTGCAATATAACCCAGAATTATCTTCGAAACAAAAAATTCTTGCAAAGACTTCTTACAATGTATATGTATTTGAGAACCTGCTTTCTGGGCCCTGGTTATAAAATCATGTACGTTTTGCCTCCACAAACAGCAACAACTGGTTATTGAGAGCTTAATAGCTCTCAACCCTATCTGAACTTGTAAAAGAAGTCCTCCCCAACCTCCAATCACTGCTCAGTCCCTTCATAACCCTCGTCTGGACTGGGCTGTCAGCCTGATCCCAGAGAGGCCAAGCACACAGTGCCTTCCAGCAGGGATCCAGCATCCCCAATTACTCTTTGCGTGTCCTTGGTCCGCCGCCCTCTGCCCTCACCGAGAAGTCTCTGGCAGCGCCTTAGGCCTGTTTGTTTGCGGACATTTCTGCCTCTGTCGACCTGTGCCGGGCAAGGCAAGTGGGCCCGCAGAGGAGACCACCAGGCCCTGGCCCGCCCGAGGGAGCCGCTCCCCACCCCAGCCCTGCCGGGGCCGAGGCAGCTCCTCGAGCTGCGGGGAATCCCGTGGGGACACGGGCCCCTTGGCTGTAGGGACTCGTGAGGCACCTTCGGGTGCGGTCTGGGCTCAGGGCACGGACTGGATGAGAGCCTGGGGCGAGCTCTCCTCAACTCCACCACCGGCACCTCTCTGTTCCCGGCCCCCTCCACCGGCGGCTGATCCCCGGGGACGCTGTGCCTACAGCAGACACGGCCGCCGAGGGCGGCGCGGCTGTGGCAGGGGCGGGCCGGGGGCGGGCTCAGGCCCGGGGCGCCCCGCAGGGAGCGACCGGGAGGGGCCGGGCCCCCGGCCCGAAGCGGGCGCGGCGGCCACGTCACCCCCGGAGCCGCCCCGCCCGCCTCCGGCCCGGAGCCGGATCCCGCCGCCCTTCCGCCGGCGCCGGGGGGACCGCGCTGCCATCCCATCCTGCTCCGCGCCCGGCCCGCTCCCACCGGCGGCTCCCGCAGCCCCGTCGGCACCGCATCGCTCCCCAGGGCTGGCTCGGCATCGCACCGCGCCCGCGGGGAGGGCAGAGCGCGGCGGCAGCCTCGACCCGGCCCCGGTGCCTCCCTCCCGCCCCGGCCCCGGTGCCTCCCTCCCGCACGGCCCGGCCGCCCCCGGCCCCGGTACCTCCGGCGTCGGCGGGTCCCGTCGCGAGTGCTCCGACCTCCGGCGCCCGCCCGGCTTTTTCTGGAGGGGCGTCCGCTGTCTCCTTGGCGAGCAGCCCCCGCCCCTCGGCGGGCTCAGAGCCACCCGGCCCCGGCAGAAGAAATGCCCCTCCGCGCTACTGGAGGTGAGTTGGAAGGAAAAGTGAGCCCTGCTAAACCCGCCTTTTTTAATGTGATACAGGTGAGTGGCAATTATTGTAATTGAGTGAAGCTTTGCGTGATTACCTCATTCACAATGAAGAGATGGTTTGTCACTTGTGTGGTCCTCAGAAAGAAGGTAATTAGCCGTCAACAGTGTTCACGTGCAGTCTGCACAAGCTGGTAGTGAGGCTCGTTACTGACCTGTATTTATTGAATAAGTATTATTTGATTTTTTTTTTCCCCCTCTTCTTATAGGTTGTAACTTTTGCAAGTTATGACATGAAGTAGAGCAACCAGCATTTTGAAGAGCTCTGCCGTAAATACACCTGTATCTCTGAACATTGGCAGATTTACTGGAGCCTCTTCCCAAAGCCTGCTCGAATCAGAACGTGTAAAATTTCCAAAGGCTTCATAATGGAGTTCTTAGCATCCAAAGGAGATTATATTAGATATTTCAAAAGATCTTTATTGCTGGTTTTAGTATGTGTAATAGTTCTTGTGTGCACTGATCAGGACTACTATAGTTTACTTGGAGTGTCCAAAGAAGCAAGTAGTAGAGAAATACGACAAGCATTCAAAAAGCTGGCATTAAAGTTGCACCCTGATAAAAATCAGGTAAGTTACATCTTTATCAAGTCAAAGCTGTAGAGTTAATGGAGCTCAGTTGGTTAGAGCCTGGTGCTAATAACGCCAAGGCTGTGGGTTTGATCTCTGTATGGGCCATTCACTTAAGAACTGGACTCAGTGATCCTTGTGGGTCCCTTCCAACTCAGAATATGCTGTGATTTATTCTGTGATCTTAATGTTTAAACAAAAAGCGCTGTTATCTAAAAGGTTTCTCTGTTATTGTGAAGTAATGTAACCTCTTGATAACGTTGTTCAACTCAGATTTTCTGCAGAGAAAATTTACAAAAAGGGATAGACTTGTCATTCACAGTTGTGTTGAATTTGGGCTGTATTAAACTGCTGTAGTAAAGAGAGTCAAGATTCTTTAATTCTCAATTCTATTTTTGTAAATAGAGGAAAACTTACATGTGTACTGTATTACCTTGTTGGTAATGATGAGTTTCTCTTTCCATTTAGCTTAGGGAAACTTACTGTTTCCCTACCATCCAGTCTCATCTAAATAGCAAATAACAACAGCCTCTTCTGAGACATCAGTCTCTAAGTATCAGATAGGACAAAACAGAGATTTTGGGACTGACAAGGCATAATGATGGAGGTTATAAAGAGCTGTAGACTAGAGAGAGAGGACCTCAAACGGCTCAGTCTGTGCTACCATATTTCTGAAATGCAAAGAAATCATTTTTAAACCTAAACAACATCACCTTTTCCTCAAAATGACTTGAAATAAGCAGAAATTCACAGGAATATGAGGGTTTAGATCTTTATATGTACAACTGTACCTGCATGGAGCCCTAAAAGACAGCAGTATTCCATATAAGCTCAGGGCCTGCCTTCATAGTCTATGTTGGGGCCTCTAACAGAGCTTGAAGAGAAAGGCAAATGTCAACAAAGTTAGAAATGCCAACTTGGACCTATTAACTGCAAATTTTGTTTTCCTTACCTTGATACCTTCAAAATAATGACATTTTGGGTCAGATTCTGTAGTTTCCAAGTATGCAGATACTCCTAAAGATTTTTCAACAGGTTATTTTCAACATTAAAGATGATATATAGAAGATGAAGCTGTTAGACGAATTCCATAATGGTAATTAATTTCCCACGTATCTTCAAGAAAAGTGTCTTGTGAATGAAACATGTAAGCAGAAGTTGAAAGAGTGGGAGAGTGGCGGATTTTGCACACCACTGTTACACTGCACCGGCACAGAACCCAAACTTGGGTTCAAAATACGTCTGCAGATTTTTCACCATTCTAATTCCAAAGCTACCTAGAGCTAGAATGTTTTTTAAATAAAAAAAGGGGGCATCTGTCTACACTGTAAGACAGAAGGGATGAATCTGTCTTTATAGCAGAGATTTTGAACTTGATGAGTGGGGATTCTGGGGGAGTGGGAAAGATTATAGAGCAAATGGTAAGTCTTCATTCTTGAATACTTTTTTCTTCCATTGTAGAGAGAGAGTTGAAAGAAGAGGGATCACTGGAGAATGTTACAGCCTCCTTCCAGTTCACTTTGTATTTCAGTTGGTAGTTTAGTGAGGATGAAGAAATAAGGCGAGAACACATCTGTCTTCAGGAAAAGAAAACTTTACTGTAGTTTATTTGGAGATTGCTGTGCAATGTCTGCTTCTATCACAGCTGACATCATTAGTAGGGATATAAGTCAGATTCCCAAAGTTTATTTTCTCAGCATTACACGGTTTATTAATTAATTAATTACTAATTATAGTTTTCTTTACATAGAATGATCCAAATGCACATGAAAATTTTTTGAAAATAAATAGAGCATATGAAGTACTTAAAGATGAAGATCTACGGAAGAAGTATGATAAATATGGAGAGAAGGGTCTTGAAGATCAGCAGCAAGGAGGTCGTTATGAAAGCTGGCACTTTTATCGCTATGATTTTGGTAGGTTATGATGTATGTTTGTGATTTGCTTAAAACAGTCACCAGTGAATGTAATGTCAGATCTTGTTATGTGTTTCTGATGTATCCTCTCCAGATTTCTGTCTGTTCTGTAGCTGTCATTTTCTCTCTGCTGACCCAATATTTTATTTACCCTGTTAATGGCTACTCAGAAATGTAATAATCTATTTACCTAGCCTTTTGTTCCTGCTGCTTACCTTTTTATAGGTTATCTAACTTCTCGTTTATTTTTTTTAAAGTGCAAAGACTTTTTTTCACTTAAATTTCAGCAGGATTCTTTTTAATGCAGAAGGACCTTTTTTGTTTAGATAAAGTATTCTTCAAGTGGACTTTGAGAGGAGATTTTTGCACTGTCCAGCCTATTTTATATGAAGTTACACAATTAGAGATCAGTAAAGAGGTAGCAGAAAATGAAAAAAAACCAATTTATTTAATGTTTGTCTCAAAAAATTTTAGGTAGTCATAGGGAAAGGCTGCAATAAACAGTTCTCAGAGCTTCTGTAACACAAGTAAGCTAAAACAGGAAGCTGAGGAACATGGTTTGATTGAGATCAAATAAAGAGCTGAAAGGAAACTCCACCTTGGCAATAATTTTTTCTGGTATAGTTCGATTTAGTATGTCCCAATCTCTAAGAAATTCATGTCTGTGAAAACTGAAATTGAATAAACCAATGTTGCAGCTATCACAAAAAATATGGAAGTTATCCTGAAAGTTCTTCAGATAAACAGATTTAAGAAATTTTATCTGCTTTAAGTTGCACTGCTTGATTAAAAAACAATATACTCAAATGTCTATTAACCAGTCTTTTGGAGAGCGCCTATTTTATATTTTATATGTCTGTGTATATATTAAAATATAGATTTATATATATACTTTATATATATATATGGGTGAGTATATATATTATATTACAGGAGATATAAATGGATAGTTAGAAGTACCTTGTCACTTGTAGAAATTCATTTCTCTCATTATTTATTTCTATTTAATCCTTGTATACCTCAGGTGAAATGACATCTCACCATGTTAGGTACTGTAAAAGATCTGTCACCATAGTAGCATAATATAATATGGTGTAATAGTATTTTTGGTAACTTTGTGCTGCCTTTCTTGTGTAGTTGAAGTAGTAGTGTTTTGTAGTGATGCCCTGGGTGGGACTGGTTAGCTTTGCCTTCCTTGCTTTTATTTTGTCCACTTCATTCCACTGCATTTATACATTCTGTCAGAGGAAAAGCTTGTGGCTGAAGCACCTTTGTGATCTAAACGTTTAAATAACCAGAGGCTGAGAGAAAATGTGAAGGCTTCTGGACATTGCATAAACCTCCCAATGAGAGCTGAAGCTTCTCGAATTTTAATCTGACAGCTGGTTGATGTTATTTCTAATGCTCTTGCCGTAACAGCGGTAGTTATAATTCTCTGCTTGCTCAGTGGTTGGTCTGCTAAAATACCAAAAGGACTGTTCTGTTCTGTTCTGATAGTTGCTTTTGTAGCATGAGAGTGCAGGAGTTAGCAAGAGGTTAAACTAAGGTTACATATTACTAAACAAATATAGCATTTTTGTAAAAACTGTCTTTGCCAGCTTAGTATTTCAACTCAAATCTAGTGTCTTCTGTTTTCTGTCTTGTGAATAAGATGACTATTTGTTTCTTTGTTTTAGAGATGGAAAAATAAAAAGCAGTTGTTGGGTTTTTTTAACAGGTATTTATGATGATGATCCTGAAATTATAACATTGGATAGAGGAGAATTTGGTAAGTTTTAAATAAATGACTGTCTGCTTGACAACATGGCAACCCAGAGTAACAATTTTTATATGTTGAGCTGTGTATCTGTAGGCTTCTATTACATATCTATACAAAAACCTCTCAGAAAATCATCTTCACGTGAGAAAACAAAAAAAAAAAAACTCCCTCAGTGCTTCCTGATAAATGCTAGTTGGCAACTAGATCAGTATCGATAAAAAATTTAGATTAAGTTTGAAAGATACTTTGTGAGATCTGTAAAAGGACATAATTTTAATTAAAATTTTGTTTCTCCTAATTTACCATTGCTATTTCTCTTGTATGAAAATGCACTTGATAGAACTTTTCTGTCATTTTTTTCTGCGAAATCCAGTCACTTGTGCCTTGCACAAGAGGCTGCACAAGAGGTTCAAAACCAGAAGGGGATACCAGATACAAAAAATACAGCCAAGTAAAACAAAGTGTGGAAAGATAACACTTTCAGTGAGAATATTGTCCTTTTTTTTCTTTTAAAATTAAAGCTGTTTATAAATAAGAGAGACTAGAGAGAAAAAATATTAGATTTTTGTGTGATTTTTCATCTGCATTTTGAATACAGTTTCCTTTGTACAGACTGGATCTACATGTTGAACTAGTTTTGTAAATTCTTCTGTTAGCAGACCCTCATGATGCTATTTCCTGGGAACCTGGTTTTGCTTTGATTAATTTGCAGAGCCTGTACAGTGCTTCATTGTCTTTTTTGTGAGGTTATTTTAATATAGGCAAATACAAATTAGAAAATCCACTATAAAAATTATGTCCAAATTGGAAAGGTTGAAAGCTATGTAATTCAAGCTGATAACTGCTCTGGGTATATATTTTGTTGCTGTTGTTTTCTTTCATAAGAAAGAGTATTTAATTATGTTTCCCCTGATTTTTCTAGTAATCATATTAACTTGGATTTTTAAATTGGATTTTTGCATATTAGACACAAATTCTACATAGAAAGATTGCCAGGTGGAACCCACTAAATACATAAAGTGATATAAGGAAATGGAAAGTTTCAGTGGGTAAAAATCTTCTAGAACTTGTATTTTGTAACCAGACTTGAACTATCACACATTTCATCTAGATTAATCTGCGGAGAGCACTTTTTTTCTTAATTAATAGAACAGATGCTGAAAGTCAGGGTGCTGATAGCTTCTCAAATGTGACTTTTGTGCACCTGCCTACAACAGTATGTGCGAGATACAATCTTTATCTCATCTGTGTTACTGTTACTGTGCCTGACATTTAAATACTTAGTACAGCTTTTGGGGAATACAGTATAGTAAAAATGTAAGTCAAGATATAACTATATTGTGGATGTGCATGACTTACCTATCATTTTCTTCTCTCCATCTAGATGCTGCTGTTAACTCAGGAGAACTATGGTTTGTGAATTTTTATTCTCCTCGATGCTCCCACTGCCATGATTTAGCACCTACGGTATGTACAAGTAAATTAACTCTGAAAAATCATTGTTTTTAGTAGCATAAAACTTAATGAAGTGGATATTTACACTGAATCTGAAACCAAAGACAACAGTTCAGAATGGCAGAAGTAAAACATGTGCTCGATTTTCATTATATCTTGATAGCAAAATAGCCTCTATTTTTACTTTTTTTTTTTTCCAGTGGAGAGAATTTGCTAAGGAGATGGATGGAGTAATACGCATTGGAGCTGTCAACTGTGGAGATAACAGAATGCTTTGTCGAATTAAAGGGATTAACAGCTACCCCAGTCTGTATGTTTTCAAAACTGGAATGGTGAGTGATAAAATTTCAAGCGTTTTTAAAATGAAATCTGGAACAGTATTTCTTTAATACTTGTTCAGTCATAGAGATTTATATAAAGATCTTCCTTTTAATATGTCACTCCCTCTAATAAATTTAACTTTTAAAGTGAACTTTAAAATATATACTTATTAATATGTATAATTTATAATATATATATATAATAACATAAGTGATAGTATAGTTTTAGAATGGTTTTTCTGAGTCATTTTTGTGTGAAACATCTCACTTCTGATTCAGGAAGCTAGTGTGAGCAGCAGTGCTATAGCAAAGCAACAAGTCTCCTTGAACAGTTTCTCTTACAGTGTTGTAATGGACTTTTCAAATACAAAGCATAGTCTGTGGTTTTGAGTCTAAAGAATATGACCATATGCCTAAAGAAACTTGGAAATTCCTTCCCTGAGGTTTCCTCCATGCTACCTGCATTATCTATGTTGCTCTTTACAGCTGCTTGTTAAGTAGTGGTGCTGGGCTGGTGTACAAATTGCACTTGAATAGATGGGTACATTTTGACAACGAGAAGTTTTGAGAGGTTAAATGCTAAGTGGAGCAAGTTTTATTTAAATAGAAATACAATCATTGGGAGTTGGTGTTTCTAAGGCTAAATTATCCTTATGTGGCTGCATTTGGAAAGAAATCACATTACAAAATTCAAATTAAGGTTAAATTCCAAACATTGCAATATGGGAGGGAGAGAACAGTTAGAGGTTAGAGGGGATGGGGGGGGAGTGGTCCTGCAGTTATAATACAGTTATAAAAACGCAGTAGGTTTTGGGATTTTTTTTTTCATTTTCTTTTTTTCTTAAATTTATAAGCTGTACTCTTTGTCTTCTATAGCAACCAGTGAAATATTATGGAGACAGGTCAAAAGAGAGCTTAAAGAACTTTGCCATGCAGTATGTTACAAGCACAGTCACTGAGTTATGGGCAGGTAATGTTCATGGATTTTGCTTGGGGGGCTGTTCTTGAAATTACTTTTACAATACCAAATATGGCAGAATTATGTATATCACTGAATCTTTTAACTGTTGCTAAGTCTTATTTTTGAGTTTAAAAACAGTTTATGTAATTTGCTAATATAAACCTTGTTTCCTAGTCACATTTAACTAGTCACAAACTCATGCAAATTGTTTCACTCTTAGGAAATTTTGTTAATGCTATCGAAACTTCATTTGCTTCTGGCGTTGGTTGGCTGATCACCTTCTGTGCTGAACGTGGGGGTAGGTATATTAAATACTTTTCAAATAAGGTGACAGAAAAAGAAGTACTTTTGTTGACAGTGGCATAATACCTTTTGCTTCCAAAAAAAAAGGTAAAACATCTTAGGTGATCACAGTGTTTGGACTGTGGGTCATTTAAGCTCCGTTTTAGAGGCACTTTGACAAAAGGGACATTAATAGAAAAATTATGCTACTGTGCTTCTGTAATGTCCCTTGAGTCATTAAAGCAGCAGCACTCAAGTGTAACCCATCAGGAAGGGAAGTGGTAGTAAAAACTTCTATCTTCAGTTTCCAGCTGAAGCTCAAGTGACAGATATTGCATAGGTACATGCCAGCTTGTCATGATAGCTGAGTAGAAGAAAGGATGTATCTCCCCTTTAAACCACCAGTATTCAAAATTTAGCTGAATAATTTCACTTAAGTTAGGTTTGGACATAGTAACTGGCTCTTACCGCTGGTTTCATGGCAGAGTTTAGATTCACATTATTTTTTGTAGCCGTTTGTCACTGGCTTTTTTGGGATCAGTATAAAGTATATGAGAACATTTCCTTGGTTAGCTGGTAGTGCTAAGTAAATGCACTACACCTTTCACAAACAAAGATTTCTCAGCCTTATGAAGAGACCTTTGTTCTGTGAACCGAATAACCAGAGCTGCAGTCTTGGATTTACATTTGTAAATAGCTTGATTTCAAGTTGCAGCCTTCTTGTTAATAATTTTTCAGCTGTGGTTCAGTTAAGGAGATGCATCTTCTTATTTCAAAAAAAATCTGCATCCAAAGGTAACTGCTCAAAGTCTGAATGGGTAATTAAAGCACGTGATGTATTTATTATAGTGGGCGATTATTTGTATCACAGAAAATGGATATTTCTATTGAAATATCATTCCAAGACAGTGTGTAGATACCTCTTGGATTTATTTTTTTAAACACTGATTAACAAATTTTAAAGGTCAGTCTCAGTATAGCAAATAAAATAGTAACATTTTTAAAATGAGAATTCTATGTTGAAGCAAGAGAACATTATTCATGTTTTTTTTTTTAATTTAGCATAGACAGTCATTAAGTGCTCATTACTAGGTGTTACAACTCCAAGTCACTGAAATACTGGATGAACAGCTAGGAAGCATGCCTTTACAAATGGTCACATTTGGAGGGAGGAAAGGGTAATTCTAAGCAGGAGTAGGTTTATTACATTAAGAAGGCAAAGTTTTATGTTTGTAAATAAATTGTTTTTATTTTACAGATTGCTTGAGTTACCAAACACGCCTTAAGCTAGCTGGCATGTTGGTAAGCAGTGTTTCACTTTGAAAGCATTACCTGTTATATTTAAAACAAAATAACAGAAGTGAAAGTGTCAAATTGTAGCTAAAACTCTCACTGAGTGTAGTGGAACCAAGATTTCATCCATTAACTTTTAGAGAAGTAAAATACTTTGACTTAGTAGCTATTGAAATAACATTAAATTTTTTTAAGAATTTCATAAAATATGAATGAGTATAACTAATGAATTACAGTGTGGTTTTCTTCCATTTTCTAAATGTATATAATTGCCTGTGCTGGGATTTTCAAAAGCATTTCTGAACCTGGAATTAAAAAATACTTTGCTTTGGTTTTGCACTTGTTTTTGGTTTGTGTTGTTTTTTTCTTAATTACAGGAAGGTCTTGTTAATGTAGGCTGGATGGACTGTGGCACCCAGGGTGAGCTTTGTGATAATTTAGATGTCTCATCTAGTACTACTGCATACTTTCCACCTGGAGCCACCATAAATAACAAAGAGAAAGGAGGTGTTTTGGTATGAGTTGTTTTTCATTCTGTATTTAGATAAAGTGATAACCATGTTAAAGGAATGTCTAAATCATTTTCACACTGATTATATACAACTGAAAAGATATTTTTTTCTTATTTCTTCTAAGCTTGTTTGCTCTGCTGTGAGTTTATATCCCTCCTGTCTTCTCAGGCAGTGATCCTGGAGGTAGTCTCCAGTTTGCTGGTGTGCTGGGAGAGGGCACAGGAGTACACTGCAGTAGCAGCAGCCTGTAGCTCTGCCAAGCCACCTCCTCAGGAGCCTCCCTGAGCAGCTGTGGGAATCCAGGGGTAGGGTGTGCTGTGTGACAGGCCCAAGAGCTATTTCTAAAGCTGTTACCCAGTTATCCTGGTAAAAAGGATAGCTTCTGCCAAGTAAAAAGTCATAGGACAAGAGGAAATGTCTTCAAGTTCTGCCAGTGGAGGTTTAGATTGAATATTAGCAAAAATTTGTTATCTGACGTGTGATAAAAGTACTCCTACAGTGTCTGTCAGTACAGATTTTACTGCTCAGCTCTATTTTAATATTACAACCTCCTCCTACATTTGTATGGTAGTTTTAACGTTCTTAATTGATGGGAGACATTTCTGTTTGAGGCACAGTTGTTCCTTTGTTGTCACTACTGTTATCTATTTCTTTCAAAGGAGGAAATTATAACCTACCTACTTTGAACCTTGTAACTTACCAGCTCTGACTTACTGATTCATATTACTTCTGAAATTTTAGAAATTACAGAAACTTAAATATCTGTGCATTGCAGTTAAGGAAAGCTGTAAAACTAGACTGGAAATTTTATAAACTTGACTGTTGGGTTTGGCGTGAAATTTGAATTTCAGACTTTTAGTCCTTGTCTTGACAAAATACAATTTTTTGAGTTTAATACTGTAGGCAAATGAGCTAAAAAGCAGTATTCTGAGAGTGATGTTTGTGAAGTTATTTGTATGGAAAAGAAATTGGTCAAATAGCATATTATTAACTGCATGCTCCAGTTGATGGAAAGGAAAAAATCAGAATAATTTCCCTGACACTTTTAGTACTGATCATCAACAATCAGGTTGATGCTTGTAATTCCTTGTAATAAAGACAGTTAACTTTCTGTCCTAGTTTCTTAACTCCTTGGATGCCAGAGAAATATATCAGGAGGTAATGCAGCATTTACCAGACTTTGAAATTATTTCTGCAGCATCATTAGAGGTAATTTTTTAAAAGTACATTAAGATTTCATAGTATAAATAGTATAATATTAGATATTAGTATAAAAATATATCATATATATATATAGCTTATATATTTTAGGTTTTTTTTACAGTTTTCAAAACCTGTTGACACAAGAACCTAGTATTTAACTGAAAATTACTTCTTTTTCTCTGTACCCAAAATTATTTAACATTGTTTGTCTACATTTATTTTTGTTGTTTAGCAAGACAATGAAAGTAAGGGGGGAAAATTTCATAGGAAAATAAAAACCACAGAAATTGCTATTGCAACTCACTCTGCAACTGTAACTTTCTGGTTATTTTTTAAATTAACTACATTGTAGAGAATTTTGTTTTAAATGTATTTTGTTAGCAGCATGCTTTACAATAGGAAATGGACATGAAAACAAAAAGTATAGAGGGTAGCTTGTAGCCAGCTTGTTCTTAGATTTTTTCCTCTTTCCTGATTGTGATGCAGTAAAAGGAAGTTTAGTGGAAGGAGTACACGAAAGAATTTATTTAGGAGGTCACATGGAGATTAGATGAATAACTGGGCATTTGCCTTTATAAAACACAGAAGAATTTTACAGGTTGGTATAATTGGGATTAATTTTTTTTGTCTTGTGTTTTTCTTGTTTGTTTTTTTCCCCTTGGTTTAAAGGACCGTCTGGCTCATCACCGGTGGCTGATTTTCTTCCAGTTTGGGGAGGGTGAATCAAATGTACAGGAATTTAAGAAACTTAAATTTTTACTTAAAGATGAACATATTCAGGTTAGACTGCTCACTCGTTTAATGTTAAATTCCATTTACATCCTGAGAACAAGTCAGTATGGTTTTTACTGTTACTAGCAGTTGCTACCACCTGCCACCTCTGGTAGTGAAAGAGATGCAGTATAATATGGTAGCTCTGTAATAAAGTTTTTTATTTAAAGCAAGCAATTAAGTTTTCCATGCAGCTTGAATATTTAAAAGTAATTAGGAAAGATTGTCTTTTAAATCTGCTCTCTAATGGGAAATGTTGCTGCAGATCCCATTCAATTAACAATTCCAAGTTAACACTTCAACATCAAATTTATGTATGTATGTATATTTTTTAATTATTCAGAAAACCCTGTGATCATGTTGAACATTTTCTTAAAAAGAAACCAAATTCAAACTTTATACTAAAGGACTACGGCTTGTAGTAGTCTAGAAGATATGTATTTTAAAAAAATTGTTGCTTTGAATAGAAGAATTCTAATGTCACATTTATTTTAGATGTCTTTCTGCTTCCTTGCTATTTTATTGGGGGGGGGTAAAGGGAGTTAAGTTTTTATTCCCCCATTGTGGCCTTTAAATTAAAAATTAGCAAGCAACCTAATATAGTTGTGCTAGTAGTTTTCCTTGAACATCCTAGTTTGTCTTAAGACCTCTGTTGTTTATAAAAAGGCTACTACTTTTCCATATTTTTACCTTTTTTCCTAACTCTTACTGCCTTTCAGGATATGTTAATGTATATAAATTAGGCTACTTTAATTAAAATGGCACTGTCTGTTAAACAGGTTGGCAAGTTTGACTGCCTTTCTTCACCAACCATCTGCAACAAACTATATGTCTATCAGCCTTGTTTAGCAGTCTTCAAAGGAAAAGGAACTGGAGATTATGAAATTCATCATGGTAGGGGAAACTTTCGCAATTTTAAATCATTACATAATCCCTTTGAGATGACAATATCTTTGGCAAACTGCATTCTTTTTCCCAAAGAACAGTTTTGTAGCTTTAATATTTGCTGGTTTTCCTCTGACTGTAATGTAGCCTTGCACAAACTTACAATTTCCTTTGGTTTTCTTTTTTCTATTTTTCCTGGGTAAGCAGTTATCAGATGCCAAGAGATGTATTTAGTCCTTATTATGATGTCTGTTTCAACATCATTTACATAATTACCTACAAATCAAATCTCAGAAGCTGATCAAGACAGCTCCTGCTTTGGGTAGGATAGCCAAAGAATGCTGTAAGGCACACCCTTCATAGAGGCTTAACATGCTAGTTACACAGTGCAGCCAGCTTCAGAAACTTGGATTTGTTTTCATGTATCGCTGCAGTAGAACTAATTCTGTGCTTTGTTAACTTCTGTCCAAAAGAAAACTGAGACTTTTACCACTTACTTTCATTTTCAACACAGCAGTTTCCTTTCAGGAAAAGTTGGGACTATATTACTGTTTAATGCTGAAAGGATTCAAAAATGCTGGCTGAAGAAGAAGGGAGCCAGAAGCAAAACTGTAGTTTACAGTAATTCATCCAGAATGTGGCACAAGGCAGTTACATAAGATGAAGTTCTCATTTTTCAGCCTCTGCAGTATCAGAAACAGCTTGGTAGAATTAAGTCAGAACCTCAATACTGTAATGAACAAGAAAGGAAAAAAAGTTTTTTACTACTTAGAAGATATTAGATTTACCTAAGGGCAAGAGATGATTCCATACATCTAATGATTGCTGCCAGGAAAAACCTTATATACTTTTTGCAATTTCCACTCCTGCAGGGAAGCCAAGAAAGGGTCATATCCATACAGCATTTCTATAATGGTATAGATTACAGTGTAAGAGAAGTGCATTGGACTATAGTACACACTTTTTTTCTGAATGGTTTTGTTTACTGTTTACAAAATAGATAGCATGTAGAACATTTACCAATAATCATCTCACTCTAGTATTTGTGACAAAGTAATACTCAAAAGGATCAAGCTTTCTTATAAGCTATGTTGAAGGGCTTCAACAGTTTAAAATTACTTATTATGAGTAATAAGTCTTATAAAGTCATTGTGCAGTGACTTAAGATTTGATCACCCTGAAGTTCTTATTCTCAGTTCAAGACAAACTCATTTCTGCTGACAACTATGTATACAAAGGGTATGAAGATACTTGATCGTTGCCCATTGGAGCTGTGTGAGCAGGAACTTCAGTTACACCTAAATAGCTGTGATTTATCAATATTACTTATTTTGCTTGAAGTTTTTACTGTGTCAATCCCTTTGCCAAGTCAAGTGTATCTAGAATAGTAACTTTTTAATTCCAGCGATAGTAAGGCAGTAACACAGCCACAAAATTCAGTCATTTTGTTTTATCCGAGACATGTTTTGTCTTGGAGAAAACATTTATTTGGCTAATATTGGGTAACTATCCAGTTTAATATTTAGCTAAATATCAACTATCACCTACAGTATGTCTTGCCTGTGTAGGTTTGGACAGTTTAACCTTATCTTCCTGAGAAAAAGCAAGTCAGTACCTGTTAAATTTATTTAAGCAAGCCATGTTTAAAGATCAGACAAGGGAACTGAAAGACTCCTGTTGCTTTCACAGAGTTTTCTAATGATATTTCTCATAGGAAAAAATAAAATTTCCTTTCTACATTGTTCTTTGAAGGAAAGAAGATCTTATATGACATTGTTGCATTTGCCAAAGAAAGTGTGAACTCCCATGTCATCACTCTGGGACCTCAGAATTTTCCTGAAAAAGATAAGGAACCATGGCTTGTGGATTTCTTTGCACCGGTAAATATTTAATATCTACATTTTTCTTCTTCTAAAATCTGTTCTGTAACTATGTAAAGAGGTACTAAGGAGTATCTTAGAAGGATACTCCTTCAGGATCATGAGACGGTATTCTAATTCCTCATTCCTTGGCAGCACTAGTTCCTAGACTGAGCTTTGTATTTAGTGGAGTCTGTTGTCAAAGCAGCATATTATTAATCTTAAACATTCTCCTGAGAGCCAGCTGCAGGGAAAGCAATTGGACTTACTTGCATTTTGTTTTCTAGTGGTGTCCTCCTTGTCGAGCTTTGTTACCAGAGCTGAGAAAAGCATCAAAACATCTTTATGGTCAGCTTAAATTTGGAACACTAGACTGTACTGTCCATGAAGGGCTTTGCAATATGGTAAGCTGCAGGAACTAAAAGTAAAGAAATATAATCCTTTTAAAGAATATTATTTTCTTCTAGCTGGGGGTAGAGGGATAAGGGCAGTCCTTATCAAGGACTTATGAAGGACAATGCTTGTCCTTTAATGTCACTTTCTTAAAGGGTAGTAAACTGAACCAGCATTTGTATCATAATCCTTTTCAAAGGAGCAAACTATGTAACCACTACAGAAAATATAGGTCACATTTTGTTCTGATTTCATAGTGTTACTGGAAGACTCTAGAAGTGTTAGAATTTAGTAATTCCTGTGGAGTTTTTTTTAATGTCTTAAAACACGTGGAAAATGAGCAAAAAAGGACAAGCTTTTTCAAGTTTTATTTAGATGTGTTCACACACATCTAAATCAGAATTCAAATCATGGAGGTGTCTGTGTTCAATAGTAAAAAATAATTATTCATACAGTACAAACATTTCCACCTGAGGACTGGGAATAGCTTTAAACTTAAGGCTTAGAGGGCCCATGGATTAATTCTTGTATTTGTGGAGCACAGCAAAAGAATTACTGGCTGGTTTTTAAATTGAGAACACACTATGCCATCTCTGAATACAACTGGCATCTTCTCTGTACTGATTTTAATGGTGTCAGATTCCCACCTGCGTGTAAGTCTGAGCAGTTGCACTGTACAAACAGAATAGATGAGCTGAATGGATGAGCCACCAATACCAATGACAGTTAGAGGTGAGTACCAGAAAGCTAATCATTCTCTGCAATTTCTTATTGTGTGTTTTGTTAGCATAACATTCGAGCTTATCCAACAACGGTTGTGTTCAACCAGTCTGATGTTCACGAATATGAAGGACATCACTCTGCTGAGCAGATCTTGGAGTTTATAGAGGTATGTGAATTATAATGCTTGTTGCAGTCCTGTACGCAGCTCATCCAAAAAAATATGTTCTTTAGTTGGAAGATTCTAAGATTTCTTTTTTTTTTTTTTTAATTACTTAGACTAGGAAGATAAAGGGTGAAAAAACCTCAGGCAAGAAAAGTGACCCAGCAACTGTCAGTCAGGGACTTGACACCTAATGGACTCATTTCCCTACTCTGTCAAGTAATTTCTTTGAGATCATTAGCAAATAAATTAAGATCTCTTCCAATCTGCAAAGTAAGAGTAATGATTTCCATCTCACAGGGAGGGTAGAGGAAGTAATTTTACAGCACTTCATATTTTTAAGGTGAAAATGCTTCACATACACACCTTGACATAGGATGAGGTTCACATTTTTGTCAGTTTGCTTGCTGCTCTACACATTTTTTAGCTGTCCTTGAACTAACTTAACCCACAGAACTGCAAATCACTGGTACTGGTCATTGTTGCTGTTGGAGTTGTGGCACCCAGCTTTGCTCCAGCACTCAGGTTCTCTTCACTGCTATATCCACGGGCTATTTTCCACTCTTTGAAGAGACCGTTCTCCCCAGATAGAAAAAGCAGGTGCAAGAAACACATGCAGAAACAGGTGGAGATTAGTCTTTTACAGTTGATATTCAGAGGCCCATAGTGTGCCCTAGGTATTCTGCATTCCAGCCTAAATAGCATGGCTAAGTTTCATAATGCCCGTTCTTGCCATGTAAACTGAATTTCTTCCCTTTTACCTCTTTTTATTGAGAAAAGGCAGAAAACCTCTCTTTTGGAGCCTGGATGTATTTTTTGATAGCTTTTCTTAACAAATCAGGCATATGATTTGTAGGCTGAAGGGATGACTTTCAACGCTTCTGTGCTTTTCAGTGGTGTGGAGACTTCCCTAACACAGTAGCAAGCAAATTTCACAGAACATTCTCAGAATTTGGTGCAGTCTGTTTGTACATGGTGGGCCTAGATATGGGATAACTTATTGTTGCACAGCGTATGTCCATAAGCTGTCTTTATTTAGGATCTTAGGAATCCATCGGTTGTCTCCCTAACACCAGAGACATTTGTTGAATTAGTTCAGAGAAGAAAACGAGAGGAGATCTGGATGGTGGACTTCTACGCTCCGTGGTGTGGACCTTGTCAGGCTTTAATGCCAGAATGGAAAAAAATGGCCAGGGTAAATGACATTCAAATATTTTTCTGCTTTTGTTTCCTCTTCTGGGGAACTACTGAGATGATGCAACTGGTTTCTTAAGAACTGTCAGCTGAGAAAACCTAGAGATTTATATTGCAGACAAAACAGTTTTATATTGTTTCAAATACAAAGTTTTTATTTGTTTTTTTAAAAGATTCAATACATAGATACTATAATCCAGTTTTTCCCGTGGGTTACAAGTGTATTTTCCAATATCTAAGAAAATTTATAGAGTAACTAGCTTTACTTGGTGCTTAGTGCTTTATATAGGCAACAGATCTGCATTTGTTTAAAACAAAATACGACAGAAAGACTTATAATAAATTAGGTAAGAATTGGTGGAAATAATTTGCCACTTTGTTCCCAGTGTTCTTTATGATCACGAGGAAGGAAGCACTGAGGAAGTGCTTTTTGAAGGAAGCACTGAGACCTTGGTGAAACCTCTGACTTGAATTTCAGATTAAAGGAATTCAGTCGTGCCCAATTTAATTACTTCCTATATTAGGAAGATTTTTTTTTTCCAAGATCTTGTTTTCTTCCCTGAAAATAAATGAATGTTAAATCCCATACACTTCAAAGCTGATTATCAGTTAGCTGAATTACATGTACTTCAAATATGGAATTTTTGGGACTGGGGAGGGTGTTTTTCTTTTGCAAGGTCATTACAGTGTTCTCTTATTTGAAAAAGTAATATTACTATACTGACAACCATTCCCGGAGGTGTTTCCAGGAATTTGAACTAGAAACTTTTTGGAAAAAAAATAGAGCTTTGGAAACAAGCCCATGACTTTGAGACATTTAGAACTCAATTTGACTCAGAGTTCTAGCCAGGATTTTATATCTGGTGAAATGTCTGTTAAGCATGAGTAGCTCTATAGTACACATTCAGTAATCATCAGCTTCCCCACCCATGCCAAGTAGTTTGGGCCTTTGCGACAAATACAGTGTGTTCAGGACACAGACCAGCTGTGCAACTGATAGCACATCTGCACTGTACCAGGATCTGTCAGGGTTACTGATGCTATGACAGCAAACACAGTAACACGGTATTCCTTCTACTAAATAATCACACTTGTAGGTACCTTTGGGGTCAGGTAGGTGCCTTGTGAGCCATGTGGATGCAGCTTATATTAAATATACGTGCATGATGGGAGTGCAGCTGGGTGGCTGGCTCTGGTACTAGTGATCCTTTTACAAGGAATAGAAAGCCTTGTGATAATCTTGGTCTGTTTTGTTGAGATTTTTTTTCCCCTAATTAAGTGATTAAGACTGAAATTCTGAAGAATTACTGAAATTGTAGTAGTATTGATTACATATTTGATTGTAGGTTTTCTTCTTTCTTTTTCAGATGTTAAATGGATTAATCAGTGTAGGCAGTGTGGATTGTCAAAAATATTATTCTTTCTGTCACCAAGAAAGTGTTCGGGGATATCCTGAAATAAGACTCTTTCCTCAAAAATCAAACACAGCTCATCAATATTAGTAAGTACATTGCTTCCGTTTGGGAAACATTACATGATGTGGAACAAGACAAATACTGTTGTGTATTAAAATCATCATAACTATTAAAATAGGCTGTTATGATATTACTGTACTGGATGCCATTGGTTTTGTTACTTCAAACTACTGTCATTTTATTTTGCCATTTCAGTAATTTGAAGTGACACCAGAATCTTAATTTATATTTCATGTTCTTTATTAATTGCCTAATTTGCCTGTTAAAGTAGACGATTTAAATCATATAATATAAAAATACCACTAGGCGTAATTGATTGCAGCTTTATCTTTAGAGAACAGAGTGATGTAGCTGTCTGCTCATCCTCCCTGTCAACAATCTGTTAGCACCGTTGCAAAAATTGTCCATTGCATGTAGTCATCCATTCATCTGTGTCATTAGTGTGGAAATATTATTAATTAACAAAAAAAATTCTAACGGAAATAAAATCTGTCCACAAACAGCCTGTCCCTCCATTTCACAGTACAGTTTGAAAATCCAGGGATTTCAGGAAGCACATACATATTTTAAAGACAGATAACCATCTGAAAGAGCAGATGTGTTGCTTCATTATTTCACAGATTGGAACTTCTATTAAATGCTGGCAGATAGTAAATTGTAATGCCTCTTCATCGTAGTATGCAATAGCAGACTTCAGTAGCTTTCAGCATTGCACTGCTTGCTTTTATTTAGTTCTTCTAGAAAAAATTTCTCTTGAAAGAAAAATTTTTTTTCTTGTTTAAAACAATTACGTTGGTGAATATGACTGTTAAGTGCCAAATTTCTAATCATGAGCCAGCTATTTTCTGCAAAGATAGGGAAATTTGTGTCTTGAAACAGAGATCACCAAAAACTATCAAATCAAATTTTGAGCAGGTAACTGTTGACAAATACTTTGCTAAGAAGTTGTGGATCATAGCAGTGGATATGATATCTTTCACTGATATCAATGATAGCAGTGGATATGAATCCCGAACTAATCTTTTTTTTCTAACCTGAGACTGAAATTTCAAAACTAAGCAATGCCTGGAAAGTCCAAATACTAAATCCTTGTCCAAGTAACTAGTTTGTCTGGCTTTTCTAATGTTAAATTAAGGGAAATGTATATACGTGTATAATTGTTTTATTGTAATGAATGAACATAACATGAAAATATTACAATATTCTGATTTAGTTCTCATGTTTCTTAGAGCTTGCAGTTTAATCTGGAGTATTACCAAGGATCATTAATCCTAAATACTTCTAGCTATCAAAGGTTATGTGCTTCCTTGACATAGAATTTTCTTCTCTTGATCATCTAGTCCTTAATTCTGTAGCTTTGAATTGTATTTACAAGACTTTCATTCATTCAGATTTCAAAGCAAGGTAGAAATATATCCTAAAACATATGCATTTACATTCTTTATTTGTTTATCTTCACTCTTCAGAGTGAGGTTGGTTTTTTTCCAATATAATTCAAACTACTGTGCAACTGGATTTTTGTTTTCTCTTTAATACAGTAGCTACAATGGATGGCACAGAGATTCCTATTCACTGAGAGGCTGGGCATTGGGGTAAGTTACTGCATTAAACTTTGTTCATGAGCTGCTTATATACTTTGCTTGCTAGGAGAAATAAATATTTAAATACTATGTGAATCAAGAATTAGAAACACTTAGGTATATGTATTGCTTAATTTAAGATGTTAAAGTTCCTACATCTTTTATCTTACTTTTTTAAAATGTGCAGAAATAGCATACTTCTTGCTGTCCACCCATTTCCTGAAGACCATATTATTATTTTGTCTACCACTTTTAAAAAGGTGATTCTCTTATAGTACAAAATGTGAAGTAGGGGTTTCCAGACTACTAATATTCCTAATTTCAGGATCTTTTCTTAAATGGAATTTGGATATTGTTTAAAGTTTTGAATGTATGACTGTTATTCCTCCTTTCCACAGATATTTACCACAAGTGTCTGTAGACCTCACTCCTCAGAGTTTCACAGAAAAAGTTCTGAATGGGAAAGATCACTGGGTCATTGATTTTTATGCTCCTTGGTGTGGACCTTGCCAAAATTTTGCTCCTGAATTTGAGATCCTTGCAAGGGTAGGTTTTTAACTGTATTAGCAGATTGTTATACTTGTAAAGGTTAAAACGTTATTTATCAGCACTTTATTTCTCAGCAGTCATCCAAAAACTACAGCACTGCAATAAGCCTCCTTCTCAGACACACAGACCCTCTCTTGAGACAGATTTCAACTTATGATGGGGTGACCTTTGGAGCTGTGATGTGCTTTTGTGCTTTGCCCTGAACTGGAGTGCTCTGCTGAACACAAGAGACTCCTGATACGAGGTTAACAGTCTGGGAAGCAAGCAAGCAACTATGCTGAAATATTTAAAAGATTTGAGAAACAGGTTTTTTGTTTACTTTTAGCTGCAGTTTAGTTGTTTACTGTTATTGGTGGCTTATTCCAGTTATTTGCTTACACTCACCAGTGGAAACTTGAAGTTTGTTTCTAATAAGCATTTCTTTTTAGGCCGTTAAAGGAAAAGTAAAAGCTGGGAAAGTAGACTGTCAGGCATATGGTCAGACCTGTCAAACTGCTGATATCAGAGCCTATCCTACTGTTAAGTTTTACCCCTACCAAGGAACAAAGGTAAAGTGTCACCTGTTGCTGAGCAGGTACTGTTAGTAGATGTATTTCATTTCACATTAAAACTGAAGAGAATATTTCTGTAACATATTAAAGTGCATTATTTATACATTTTGGAGAAACAGTAATAATCAGTTTTGTAATACTTAATGGCAAATTAGTAAAACAGTAACTAAGATGTGGGCTTAAACAGACAAGGGTTTGATTTTGCAGGGGTCTTAGGTGACAAAATGTTTTTCAACCTTTACCAATTCTATCACCAGCTACCCAAAAGCAGGCAGTCTCTCTCTAAATGAAATGTGGACAACTTCATTTTGGCTAAGGAGAAATATAATTTTGGTTAAGGAGAAATCTGATTATATTAAAAGAGTAATTCTGACTTAAATAATGTATTTTAAGCTAAAAAAATTAATTAAAAATATATTAAATTTCAAGAATATTATAGCCAGCTTTTTAAACTTATTAATGCTAAAGAGAAAGTATTCAATGATTTCAGTATTCGATGATTTCTGATAGTTAAGGCAATTCTCTTAATTATACTTTACTGGTTTTTTCACTGAATATTTTATGGGAAATTCTAGAAATCCCTCCACACAAACCCACCAAATTCAATAAAATTTTCTGTAATAAAGAGTAGAGGCTTTATAGGTCTCAAAAAAGTGGCAGACTTGGTAATAGCTGTCTACCTTAAGTACTTAGCTGAATAGGTGAGCAAATTGTAACTATTTCAGGTTCCTTTAAGGATCAAGACAAAATTTGTGTAGTTTTGAAAATTAGGAGCTAAGAGTGGTTCTTACAGTAAAGACAATTAGCATTGTTTAAACAGAGACAAAAATATATCCATGAATCATAAATCAGCCTACCAAAGCCATTGTATTCTGCCCTGCATTGCTCTTGAATTTTGTCTGAAAGTACACAGATTTCTATTCAGTGTAAAATTGTGGTATATATTACCCATGCTCTATTTTTTTTTCTTTTAAGAAAAATGTTCTTGGGGAATATATAGACAGCAGAGATGCAAAAGGTATTGCTGACATTTTGAATGAAAAATTAGAAGCAATGCAAAATAAAGGAAAAAGAAAAAAATCTAGAAATAAGGTAAGAACACTTACTGTGGGGCCTCTTGCAAAACACTTGCTGTAAAGACTAACTGCTTAAAATGATGTTAGTATTGGTTCTTTATCTGTAGTATTAAATGCTGTATCTTCAAATAGTACCAGGTACATTTTACTTCCAGTCTTGTTTTTGGTTACTGTTATTCATTCGAACTCAGTTCTTGATGTCTACAGATGTAACAGAGAACAGCTGCAACATCAGTTGTGGCAGGACTTTATGGGACATGGACATGTCTGTGGCACAGCTGCGTTAGAGATAGATGGCTGAGCTGCACTGTATCTTCAAGTGTAACCCTTGGACTAGATTTAGTAAGCAGACACCAAATTACAGAGGCTGATCATTGCAAGATTGGGGTTGGCATTTAACTCAGAAGATATTAACACACAGCTATTAAGTAGCCCGAATTCTATTTAAGAAACATTTGTCCAGTTGAAAAATTGGTACTACAGAAAAGTTTAAAATCACAGGAGAAAATTATTTTTACTCGTACGTTGAGAGAAACTCCACTGTTTATTTTCTTGTCACTAGGATGAACTCTAAGTGGTACCGAAGTTAGATATGATTCAAGATATTCTGAAGCTGTGAATATAGAAGACACCACAAGGAAAATATAAGGATGGTTACTTTCCTGACAGGACAGGAGAGATGAAAACAAGTTTGAGTTCACAGGCATATGTGACTGTATGAATTCTGTTAAACTGTGGGGAGATTAAAGCATTTTGGTTTTGGTGGAGGCATTCAATGTTTCTGCATGTCCCTCTTCTGATATACCAGCTACCTTCTTCCTGGCCAAACACCGGAGTTGACCAGCAATGTGAACTCTATTACTTTTGCCTACCCATTTACTAGTTCCTTATATTTTTTTCTGTCTCTTTTCAAATGCTTTTTGAATGTGGCACTCAGCCTGTGGCTGAATATGCACTCAAACCACTCTGCAATGCAGAAACATAATGAGGGATTGTCTATTTGAAAGACAAACAATTGTACCTGATAATTATTCTGCTTTGGGGTTGCAGTATTGTCTAGTCAATTGTTAAGAAATAAAATCAAGAAATGGTAGCAGGATGTTTACTGAATTAAATTGCTTTTGCCCTTGAGTGGATTACTCTGCAGCACTGGTGGTGCTGCCTGGATGAACAGAACTTTGAAGAGCTTCTTCAGTTGTTTGGTTTGTTTTTGGGGTTGTGTTTTTTCTTTTTTTAAGTAAGAAAAAAATAAAGTAATTCAAACTCTGTGTTTCATTGACTTTCAAAGATTAAGTTATGCCACTGAAGCATCTGGTTAAGTCATTAGGTCATAACTTTTATTATTGTCTTTTTAGATATTTAAATATGAATGTATTCTGTGGACATAGTTAACCTCTTGGCATTACCACTGTCCCTTTCTCTGGAGATATGGTTTTAGGTGGTTTGTTTGTTTTTTATATAACCTTTAGGCAAGCAGGATAGCAAGTGCCTTCTTTAATAATGAACAATGTATATTGCAGTATCTCCTCCTAGTTTTTAATAGAATTCCCACTCTAAAGAATAATATTTTTCATAGCTTCTCAATAGACAAGAAAAATTACAGAAGATGACAAAATGTCTGCAAACAACTGTTTCATGTGTTCAATAAAATGCTGCTGAGAACTTGTCAGATGAACTTCTCTCCCTGCTCTCGATATATTTAGATCTGGCATGACTAGTCAGCTTAGTATGAGTATTACAAATTTGTAAATACATTGTTATCTACAAGTAATTTTTTTCATAAAGAAGGCAGCAAGAAAGGAAGAGGTTCAGATAACTTTGGGACATTGAAATGTTTCTTCCCCGATGGTCAGAGTTGCCTCTACTGATTTGTGGGTTTGCAGCACATTATTCTGAGAAAGAAGAGAACATATTGCATCTATTTTTAATGAAGTACACCATCCCCCATCCAAATCAAACTTCAAACTCAATCACAGTCAAAAATTACAATTTTAATACAAATTCTGTTTTGGTCAGTTTTTGCGTGTCTCTGTAATTGCAGTTCTCATGCTGTACTGTAATGCTGGAGAATGAGGTCATGGTTACATACTCTAGGATTCTATTGTTAAAAATCTTCTAAAAATAACCTCGTGCAGACATTTGTACAGTTTCTTCTTTATGCCTGTTTATACTCAGTTTCTCTCTTATTACTGCTTACTGGAACAGACTAGTAGAACAGTCTCCTCCCTAAGATGCCGGTAACTTCAGAACTTTCTGGTTTTGCTATGGCTTTAGTCATACTTCAGTTCTTCATAAAAAGTTACTGTATCACTTCCTTCTCAGTCAGTCATCTGAAGCAATATAGGTAAATACTACGAGAAGACAACACTGCTGCCCACATCAAAATATTCTCTACCCTGACTTACTTTGTCTTGGCAACTGGTTTCAAAATTCATTTAGACTGTGGGTAAGAGGATTTAGTTTAAATATCAATAAAATTCATTTTTAAGATTTAATTCTGCATCATGATATTCTCTTTGCATCCAGAGTTTTAAATTTCAAAGCTCGAGCCCAAATGGATGTGTATGGGGGAAAATGACCTTCAGAACAGAAAAAACCTGTAGGTGATGTTAAGTTTCTAAGATTTTCCAAGTTTTCATGTTTGTTTTTTTTTTTTTTGCCAGCTGCCCTTTCTGTGTTTTCAGTAAGCAGCCTGGGGGGAAGATGGAGGGGGTAATAAAATCTTGCCTTTATTCCTAGCCATACAAATAAATAAATAAAAGCTTTTATACATAGCTGTATCTCCAGCCTTCTCTAAGGACAAATCCATATATTTGCATGATCTGATTTTTACTAATCAAGGGTTTAAACTGGTTATTCAAGACCAGTGGAGCAGCACTATTACAGAATAAGAACATCTTGAATTAACCAGGTCCCTCAGTTTTCTCCTGTAGAATCATGGAGGTGCCAGTATCGTCTCATTCTTCAGAAATCAAATTACAATAAAGAAAAACCCAACGAACTAAAAAAACACATTAAAAAACAAATATAAAACCCCACCAAACCACACAGAATAATCCAAATCTTCTCTAAATGCAATGACAAGCTGTATTGGTCAACAAATATTTTAACATATACTCCCCTACCCCCAAAACCAAAAAGTTCAAAACAAATTATAGTTGTGTTAGTAACTGTTCTGATACTTAAATTTAATTTCATATTTTAAAAGAAAAACCTTCAACTTCATGTATCCAAGCAATAAACAAAGTGAAGACGAATCTGAAACAGTACGTGAGTGAATGCTATAATTTTAAATAATGCTCCACCATTCCTTAATCCCCCTCTCAAATCCCAAGGGTGAATAGCAATTTCACTCTCACCGTATAACCAAGATTGCTTCGCTTCTCCCTGTAGCTACCTGTAGATTGTGTTTATCACCCCTTATTCTTCACTCCTTTCCTCACTCCACTCTAGTGTAACTTGTTCAACTGAATGGACAAGTGTGAGGACCTGTGGGTTTTGACTGAATGACACAAAGTGGCTCAATCGAGTCAAAGCAGGGTAAGAACGCTCTCCCGGGGCCCCTGTTGCTTAGGACTTGCTGAGGTATGAAGTAAACTGGCAGCCTTGGCATATTCTCAGATGACAAACAGCAGACCATGAGGCTCATCGCTGCCTTTTCCTTCTAATTGCCCTAAAAAAAAGGGCAACACAGAACCAAACACAAAATACATGTATGCTGTACAACAGGTGGAATAATAGATACAGAAGTCTAATGGCTTTTAAATTTATCTCTAGCATCCTATTTTAATTAAAAGGAGGACTTGAATGGCTGTTTAAGTGTCACTGAATTGATTAGCTATCATGCTCTATCCTAAAAACAACAAATTTCCTAAAAGACATTTGGCTCATTTAGTTTCTACTGCTGCTAAGAGGTATAAAAATAGAATAAAGCAAAAATTTCAAGCAACATACTGGTTTTATACGGTCGGCAGTTGGAAAGATCATGTTTTGATCAAACTTGGCAAATTTGATTTTTTTCCATTCATGGGCATGCTTCACATTTAATTAGTTGTGGAATTTCAATGTATTTTTTCAATTTATAAAGAGACTTAAAATGTTTTAATATTTAAAGTTTTCACCAGGAATGCACAAAAAGAACTTATTTCATTTACTGAAACTTGGCATCTGAAAACAGTGACCTTCCAAGCTCAAATGCTTTCAACCTTGGTCTTCTCTCTATGCTAGAACTGGTTACTAATTTTTAAATCCACCTACCTGTAAGCCACCACACTTTCAATAATGAACAGTTGAAGTACTTATCCCCAACATTGAACAGAATGCTCCTTGTACTGCTAACTTTCTAGGCTCTAAAAGACTTCTCTATCTGCCAACAGATATTAATTACAGTTAGTTGAGCATAAAGAAGAATGTTTCCTAAATCAACGTATATGACCTCTGTATTCTGCAGACTATTTCTTGACTAAGACTACAAAAGCCACGTCGACGAGTTAATGAGCTGACGCAGCCTCTAAGAAAATGGCTACCTTACTTAAATGTCAGAGTTTCAAAAAACACTCAAGAGCTGAATTAAGTAGGGGCCGGGTTGTGTTATTGTCAAAACTCATTAGTTCTGGTGAATTCTTACTATTCAACTGAGCTGGAATGCAAAACAGGGCCTTAAAGATGTTCTGCTTTCTAGGGCTTAATTGACAGAAAGTAGAATATTGTTTTTCCATAAGGCAGGTCAAACTAACCTGAAGGAAATATAATTTCTGCATATTATAGGCTACTGTGGAGTCATATAAAGTTATTCTCTTTTTTTCTACCTTGTCAAGTACTACACATATCAGCAAGAATACACTTCAATCAGAATTGATTACAGATCAGCCATTAGAAATTTATATGGCTGACCTGGCCCTGTTTCCAGAAAATACTTTTCTCCCTATAGCATATGTTTTAAATAGGCTTTACTTTTGCTATGTCAGAAGATCCCAGCTAGTTCAGTAACAGGAGCCCATATCTAGGATAATATGTGTTTCATTTTTGCTGAGGCTATATTAGAAAAATATCCTATGTAAACAATGGAGAAAAGTTCTCCATATTATCATCCTGTCTCTTCAACTATAATTCAATGCTCTTTTCAGTAATTATGTTCACCTACTTTATTATCCTACCTTTGATCACTGGATCATTATGTCTTGAGCAACTTATTTATTTCAATTATATGCCACAGCAAGGGAACTTTGGCTGTAGTGCTCAGTTTTTCTGTTCAGGCTTGAGGCTAGAACAGCATGCAGGAAGTGCCTGTGTACCTGGCCAGCCATAGAGCAAAGAAGTGCCAGTTAATGTTCTTGCAGTACCTCCTATTACACTTTGTTCTTCTTTAGCATGAGCACACTTGTGCAGCTGCAGCTGTAAGGTACCCCTGTTCCAGTCACTGCTGCGAGAAAAAGGCTCATGGGGAGAATTACAGCTGTAGCAATGTACGTCTTCGTCTTATTCTGTTGCAGAACCTTTAGTAAAGCACTGGAATCTAACAGGCTAAAAATAAATAAACATTGCAATGTACGTAGAAGTATTAAACAAAATGCCTCCGAAATTTTGGACAAGTGAGAGATGAAGATTTGATTATGAAATCAACTTTTTATGAAGTACATATTCAGTTATTATGGGGCTTCTGTCCTCTACCTCTTCAGAGGTAGATTCACAGCACATTTAGAGATCTGGAAAACAGTACAGAGCTGTCACTAAGATCATATTTTCTCTTATACTTTTTATGTCCTGTGAGACAATTTAAGCAAACACATAGCCAGCCCTTGCACTAGAAGAACTGAAAACCTGGATTGCCAGCAGACAGCAGCAGTCCTTTACCAAGTGCTGGAAGTCCCACTTGGGTTACAGGAATGCTGTTCTGATAACCCTGCGTTTGTGCTTTTCAACGCAGCTTCTGGCTTCGTGCCAGAAGTCCCTCAAGTCCCACCACTCAAACTTACACAGCATAAGGCAACACTGCCCCTGAATTGAGTATCTCACCTTTTCCTTGCTCACAGCCCCACGGTGGGACAGCTTCTGATGCCATTTCATACTGCAGCAGATAAAAGAACTCAAACTCACCTGGCAAAAAGCGGTTATGGCACATAAGACAGGTAAATCCTTACGTTTTAGACTGAGTTTTATATTCTAGGAACCAACAAATCCCCTTCCCAGAACTAGCCTTAGCAAAGAGGTTACTATATACCAGGTTAATACAAAGCAATCAAGATACGACATTTATTTTCAGACCTCTTTGGATTTTTTTGTTTATCTAGTCCACCTAAGATTATGGAAATACCTGGAATGTGTTCTGCATCTTGGAAAAATTGGGCAAAGGCACACCACCATCTGCTGGACAAAACTGGATCAGCACTGTGGTGAAAAGCAGCTGGGAAGAAGACAGATTTGCATAAAGGTTATTTGCAGATTCTACTGCCACTGTCCTGGGGAGCTGCCCAGAGGTGCTGCTCCATTAGAGGAGGAGCTGCAAGGCACAGAGACAGGCATGTCTGCACTGCACGCAAGGCTGGCACTCTGCAGCACAGCATTTCTGCACAGCAAGCTTCAGCCTGGTCAAGAAAATGGGGTGCTATGAGACCTAACTGCTCCACACATGGAATAGACTCAAGTATATGTATTTTAGTCACTTTATTTGTATCTATATACATTACATTTTGATTCTCCAGGTAGTCAAGGCGGTTATTCTCAAATAGTTTAGTACATCAATTTTATAAAATACAGCTGAACCAAGGTAGAATAGAAATACATACATTATGGTACATTAAGTGCTTTGAATATTGACTAGTCTGGCCACCAGCTAGCAAGCAATTCATTTGGTTTTGGTCATTCTCACAGAGGAGAGTCCACAGATAACTTACTCCCCTGAGCCCTGCTGAACTCCTTTATCAGCAAGAGTCCCCCGTGCTTTTTGGGGACAGAATACACCCCTGGGCCACTACAAGGCATTCTGCTGTCTACATGATGACTCAAAGTCATTGCTTCTGACCGGGACAAGATTTAGACATTTGTCACAAGGCCTCAGATCAAAACAACAGAAGAAAAAGAGCCAGTGTAGCTCTGAAGAAATGCAGTCTTCATGTTTGAAACTGAGATTTACTTACACACATATATACTAAACCTGTGTTGTAAAAAAAATAAACTCTGACCAAATGGTTCATCCTTAGGTGTTCTACAGGGACACAGACCTAACACAGCCTCACAAGGAGCTCTCTCCAAGATCTCTTCTGCATGAAGCATTGCTCTCCTGAGAAAGTCAACTTTATAGCAATTGAAATGCCAGGACAACTCTTATTCTGAAAAGGGAACATTTGAGGAGACCCATTCAGCTGCTGGGATTTGAACTAGAAATGCTTACATGTCACATAGTGCCCAAAGATGTCCCAATTCCAGTTGATACTGCAGCTACTGTGTTACTCATGATCAGTAGTTTGCTATTTACTTCAGTCTAGTCAAGACTAGT